AACCATTGACATGAGGTCTTTCGCCAGCTGCAACGGATCAAACTTTTCCTTTCCAACCCGTAGTTTCTGGTGCGCAGCTACAAAGATCTTTTGACTCTCCTCGCGGAATGTGCTGTAGACCTTGAAGATCTTGCCGTTCACAGCCACGTTTGCTGTGAATGCCAGCTCCAAGAAGAGTGACACCAAGAACTTTTTGGTCCTCACTGCCTCAGCATCTGTAACTTTGGCTGTCAAGTTTTCTTGGCAAAGATCAGGCAGGACAAGAAATCGTCCAAGCAGTGCTTGGCCCTGCTCTCTGGTGGTTGAGACTTGGTCTGGATTTCAACACCAAATTCATCGCACTCTTCCAAACCCAAAGTGGCCTTCTCATCGTCTTCGTTTGCCTCAACCTGACCTGGCTTGGCCTTTGCTTTGGCTTTGCGCTTCTGGTCCTTGGCATCCTTCAACTTTCTCTTGAGAATCTTTCTGGACCTCTTCGACTCTTTGTCCTTGGTCAGGGCGTTGATTGCGGCGTCAACGTCAACCTGTCCGTCGTCTTTGTCCTCATCTTCGTCGTCATCATCATCGTCGACATGGTCAGCTTTGGCTGGGGTCTCATTCTCTTTGTCAAGCTTCGCGGCTAAGGCCTCATCCCCTTGTCTGTCAGCCTGGATAACTGGATAACACGTGGCATCGGAAGCGGCTAACCCCCAGGCCCGAGCCCCGAATCCCACCCTACTAAATGGCAAAAACTCCTGATTGAATAACACATCAGAAACAATTCTACTAGTGTTCTCCGTTCGCAATCTTTACTGTCGTCTTCACTATCCTAAGCCTAAGCTATTGAGCAGACTTGGCACGAAAGGACACAGCCAGCTCAGGTAAAGTCAAAAGTGACTGCGAGCCTTCTTCTTTAGCATCTTCTTGAACGTAACAGAGTCGGTCATAGGAACCGTCATGTTTGCCATAGATGATTTGTCCGAAGCAAAGGGAAAAGGCACTTCTCGTTCAGCCCCGCTTGACGATGAAGCAACCTTGGCTGGCTGGCTGGCACTGCACTCCAACAGTTGTTCTCTAAATTTGCCCCTCCCAAGGATCCACTGCCAACCCCAAAAAAGTGATCAGGTTCAATGATCTAACAGGTTTGCAGGCGGCGTACCATCCTTGGCGCTGGTCTGTTTCTATACATACTATTATTGCAATAGTTTCCCTCCCTTGATAATGTTTATGTGGCGTGGTACATATTCTACTTGGACAAGCAACGCAAAACTTGAGAGCTTCCCCAAGTACTACTCGGATGTCTGGTTTTGGCCAGTACCCTTTCATGCTCTTGAGAACGATGTTGGTCATTTGATTCATGGTCGTGATTGCTGCAGCAGGCCCAGCAGCACCAAGAAAGTCGCCGTGAGCCAAATACCACTCCTAGCAAGGAGTGCAAAGCACGAGCAACCTCAATTTAACTTTGCTCACGGAACGAACACTTAACACCTTAGCAGGCCAACGCCTGTGCCCCGTGCCCCCAAAGTGTAGTGTAAGTGTATGACTGACTGTTCTTTCTCCGCTGGCCCGCCTCAAACTCATCCCAAACATCATAGGTACCCAGGGAATGCGCCAATGATTTTGCCTCTTGGAAGTATGTAACCGAGTCCTTGAATGTGAGTGATTCTTTGCGAACGAAAGCGTCATAAAGCCGCTGGTAACCTTCATGCCTTGTGGTTATTCCATCCTTGGTGCAATGCTTGCGCCAGGATGCTTCCACCTTCAAAGCCTCTTGCATCACAGTCATTGCTGTGTCTCCAGATCCTTGGTGGTGCCGATTGTGCTCATGAACCAGCCATTCTACAATGTAGTTTGGCGTTGCCTTGTGGAGGCAGCGACAGCGCTTTAGGCCTTGGCGTAAGCACTCTTGCACCATCGGGTGGTTCGAATCCTTTGCATGACAACCGTAGAACGCAGCGCGTCTATGGTTGAATGAGAGGGCCAGTAACGGGTAATTCCGCTGTTTCGGCCCTTGTGACCACCGAAGCCAAGGAAGACCTGATTGGCGGCTTGACCAAGATTTAAAGACAGTGACAACATCGAGCAACATTTTTTTTGGTGTGCGTTGGCTACTTTAACAAAAGAACAAACAAGCAGCAGTGAGTTGGAGAGAATGCAAGCCACCGGAGCAGTCCACAGCAAGCCCTGAATCGAAGATTCGCCTTTCATATTCCAGCACCGTGCTTTGCTGCAATGGCCTATTGATAGGATCTGGAACCAATGTAGGCTTGCCATCCGGTTGAAACCAATCCACATCCATATAATCTTCACTTGGATCACCGAAGACTTGGAAGATCTTTTCAATCCTGGCAGCCCCTGTGAGCTCCCCAAACGCAATCTCCATGGTGCAATCAGGGCTCCAAACATCAACCACTGCCGGTTGGGCAGTGTCAGCTTGTTTCCCAATCTTTCTGCGTCGCTTCACCTCTCCTCCAGGACTGCTAGGGTCACTCGTTTCGTGCATCAAGGGGCGCGAGCCTCTTGCGAGACCTTGCTCTGGTTTCGCACGTGGCTTGGAAGACATTGAATCTCCAAGCAGGCAAGCAGGCAAGCCTTCCGGCCTGTTGCTGAGGTTCGGAACTTGGAGTTGAATCTGAAGCTCAAGAGAACACAGTCCACTTGAGGAAAGCAATTTCCTAGAGCCGCTGTCGCTGGATACTGGATACAGCAACTTTAGCGCTGAGTTGAGCCAAAGCGGGTCAGGAGCAACCAAAGGGTGACCTAACCTACTTCACTGGCTGCATTGACAAAGGCAAACTCTTTGCTTGCAAACTAAGCAACGGATTTAAACTTATATAGACCAAAAAGTCTTGTATGCAATCCCGGAGCCGGAATCCATCTCCGGTCCATCATCTCCAGTGTTTGGCTTCCACAAAAAATATCGCAAGACGACTGCTTGAAAAAAATCCAGACAAAAGGCAAATAAATTAAGTCGCCAAGAACCAGACGACGGCCGGCCGTTCCCTCTCTATTCAGCAACCACTGAGACCAAGGCGGATTCTCAGAACGAGAATGTGAATGCGTGTAGTCAATCCTGTCTTGAACCTGGCAAAGCGCAAGGAAAGGAAAAGGTGCTTTTGGCGTTTAGATTCTAATCCAAAAACGCGACAAGAAAGAGTTGGAGGACTGAATGGCCAATCGTCCAATCGTAAACACTGAACGATTGAACGCCTGAACACCTAGAACGCGGTAGCCTTTTTTGATGGCAAGCGCCATGCGACTGTGCACATGGCACAAGCGGCCTAGGATTCTCTTGGCCCATTTAGCCCAACTTGCCAACCTCGCCACATCTACCCCAATCAATCACGATCCCGGGCCGGTCCTTGTTTGTTACCACACAGAACATCTACCGAAATGCTACACCGACACCAACAAAAAGCCTGCTGCTTCATTGTATATTGTGATGGGGTGATGATGATGATGATGATGGGCCCGTGATAGGGTTTTCTGGCTGGTTAGGCTGGTTCCCATTGCTACCTGTGCAAAACGGGCCAAAACCAGCGCCACGCCTGACTTGCCAAGAAAGCAGCTGCCATTATATATATATATATAACCTTTTAAAACCAGACAAGATCACTCTGCCAGACTGTGTTGAAGCTCGTCACACACCCCAAAAATGGATCCCTGACAAACAGCGGCAATGCGGCGGCAATGAGCTGGAGCAGACCCTGACTTAATTTCCTCACAGGAAGTGTTTTGCACACTCCCAGCCCAAAATTCCCGTCCTCACTCAATGTCAAAAGCCGGGTCGCTTGTCTTGTGCCGCTTGCGGGTCCTCACAACACCCGCACTCGTTGGCTCCGCTGATGCCTTTTCTGATGCAAACGACTTCTCCACAGCCATGGCAATTGATGTCTCTCGGAATAGAGACATTTCTGCCACAATCCTTACTTATATCAGGGTTACAGGGCTCCAGTTCCAGCATAATTTGACAAGTATGCTCCTTCGAGTGTCCTTCGAGTATTTCTTGACCAAAGTCAGTATGCCCACAACCGGAATCTAAAGCATCGTGTGTTGACAATGCCCGGCGCTAATCTTGGGCGAATGAATCAACATAACGAACGAACGGCCCATCCCACAAACGGCGTGGAACTCACAGCATGTCCCCATCATCATCGTAGTCGTAGCGTCTTAGCGCTGAATGATATCATATATATATATATATACAATACAACAAGTAACAGGTTACGGTCCGGTTACAACAGCGGCTGGAACGATTACAAGCAAAGCGGCACCTCGCGACAACAGGAGTACTTACGACTTACTACTGTACTGATATGGTCACCTAAAATATGAGCAACAACCACACTGTCAAACACATAATCTCAAGTAAGCCTCAAGCGGCGGTTTCTAGCCGAGTTTCCTGTTCGTTTCCACCTTCGACTTCCAGCACACTGCGGAATGCAATGTGCATATGAACGGGCAAACGACCGACATTGAATTGCCTGCCTGGGCAGAAACTTGACGAGCTTTCCTGCCAGGCCTTGGAAAGTTGAAGCATGATACTTTCCAGCCTTCATGAAGTCCGGGATGAACAGGGAAAGCTTGCCCAACCAATAGTTCCATTGGCAGAATCCAGCGTGCACAAGAACGTGGGTGTTTATCCAGATCGTCACTTCCTGAATCAATGTGATCCACCCAAATCCTCAGCTTGAGAAAGCAGAACAACTTTCAATTTAAGTGTATTATTAGTTATTTAAGCATTTGTTTCTCCCTTGCCAATGCGGCCTGTTTGTAAAATACCTGGGTAGCGTGAATGGGATGCGCCAGCCGCGCTGGGCAGGATGTTGTCGTGAGCATGGGAGGGCCTGAGCGCCAGCCGTTTTTAGAGGCGCTGAATGTGATAGAGATTGAAACGAGGCGCTCCTACGCTATCTCACATCCAGACCAGGTAAACCTCTCGTGTCGACAATGACAACACCGCGACAACACTTTTGAGTTTGACCTCCTCCCATCACAAGCGACAATCAAAATAGACTCAATCAATGAGTCAGTGAAGTTACTGAAGTTAAAGCGAGCATCAAACCCACGTTGTGGATGAAAGTGTGCAGCCACTTGTCAGTCGAAGCCATTCCATGCCCGGATTCTGGATTCTGATTAAGCTGCCAGGCCTGTCCCGGATGTGAGATAGCATAGGAGCGCCTCATTTCAATCTCCGTCACATTCAGCGCAGCCAAAAACGGCTGGCGCTCAGGCCCTCCCATGCTCACGACAACATCCTGCCCAGCGCGGCTGGCGCATCCCATTCACGCTACCCAGGTATTTTACAAACAGGCCTCATTCGCATTGGCAAGAGAGAAACAATGAGGCTTGACTTATACCCTCAATTTGTTCTGCTATTCTCAAGCTGAGGATTTGGGTAGATCACATTGATGCCGGAACTGACGATCTGGGGAATCACCCTCGCTCTTGTGCACCCTGGATGCTGCCAGCAGAACTATTAGTTGGGCAGCCGCCACCAATCTGAAGTGGCGCCAAAAAGTGCGTAGTTTACTTTACAGTCATTCAATGTTTAGGTTGTCTTCTTCTTATTAAAAAAACAAGTTTCGACTTTCAACACTGTCTCCTTGGCAGCAGACAATCTGTCCCACCCATAGTGCTGCGCAAGAGGCTCAACACGACGGTCCCATTCTTCCTCAGTGGCAGCATCCTGCAAAGCGTGCGCCATGCTCAGCTTTCTGGAAGATCCCCAGTGCAATTCTTCCTCAAACTCGCTCTGGATGACGCCGTGGTTGAAATTGTGTTGGAACAAAAGCTCCCTCCATGACCAGTTCACTGCCCTGTGAAATCGTTTGCAAAAGTGGCTGAGAGGACTTACCTCTGCTAAAGCAGCCATCTTATGGCGGAGGCGATGGTACTTGCGCGCTCGGGCAACGGGAAACCTCACTTGCCACAGAACTGCTCATCACTACTTATCAATTCTGGAAAGGGTGAGTAAGTGGCTGTACCTTGCTGGTTGCTGATGTCATGAGTCACAACAACGGATGTCCGTTTGTCATGAGTCTTAGTCATATGCAACGACCAACCCTTGTCAAAGCATCATGTCAGCGCCAAATAACTACGCATGTCATATAGCTTTAAATGTCGTTCAGGCGTTCAGGCGTTCAGGTCTTGTAAGTTTGAAATCTTTTGCAGCAGAGAAACCCATACATTCGGGGATCCATGACAACGTCTTCAATGATGTAGCAGCTGCCCAATAGTCGTTCCAACACCGATGTAGGAAACCCCTCCACGTTTTCAAGGGTGATTTCTTGTTCCTGAACCTCAAGCCGCAAAGCAGCCCATGCAAGGAGGTGCAACACGTTTGGATCAGATAGTCCCAGCTGCTTTCCCTGTCGGGAATGCGCAGTACATGATGTGCCACAAAAATGCTTTTGGGCCGTTTCAATGAAGCAATTCTGGCCATGCCGTACACACGGAGCGCGTCGGTTGACTGCTTGTCGACTGGTGATGATGGGGCTCAGCACTTCCAAAGCCATAGATGGCTTTTTTTTCAGCTGTTCAATCACTTCTTTCAATTCGCAACGAAAGAAGCTTGAGATGTCTGAAAAGCAGCAGCACCAGTCCTGCTTGATGCCTGTAGCAAGAACATCTAATTCAGCCTGACACTCTGCGTTCCACTCAACCATAGAGAGCATCCTTGGCGGCGCAATCGTGCGATCTGGGATACGGTTTTGCACAGCCCAGTGCAATCCAAGCACTGCAGTCTCCGGAGCAGCAACGCCAGAAAAGGATGAACTGTGCGTTGATCCTGCCAACCACTCAGCAAGATGTTCCAGTGTGCAAGTTGGCGAGCCTGGAGTAGAGGTTGGGCAACCATCATCATCGCCTTCTTCTTTCTGAAGGACTTCATCAAGAAAAGAATCAAAGAATGACATGGCCTCCTCCAGTGATGAGACCTGATTGCTCCCACTGGACACCTTCACCTGGCCAGGAGAAGCAGCCTTGGTAGGGCGCGGGCTCCTCGAACGCTTCCTTGAGGAAGGATCAAAATCCGGCTGCTGCAGGCATCTCGATCCGGCTGCAGGCATCTCCTCTGTCTTTTTATCCAAGCTGAACTCGCCAAGGACCTCCTCCTCGTGTTATTCACCCGTTCACCCGTTGCTCGATGAAATTGTTCAAAGGCAAATAAAACACATTAGTTCTACCGTTTGCAATTGTACCGCCGTTGTTTACCTTTTTGCAGTCATTGCGTTTATTGCAGGCACCTCATAAAAGCAGCAAACTATAACTATAAGTCTATAAGTAACTATAACCATAGACCATAGCTCAATGTCGCAATGTCACAGCCCCAAACTCTTTGGTTCTTGCTATCAAAGTTGATCAGGGGGTTACCAGTGTTCTTCTGCACGAACTTCACAACACTTCACAACTATGTTTGGCTTGAACACATCGCAAATCGCAAATTGAACCACTAGTTCATTTGTCATGAGTGCATTTAATTACAATTAACATAGGCCCAATTCCTGCGAAGCGCTTTCAAACGCCAAGCCACGCCTGATCTAGAAAACGCGCACTATATACTTTACAAAACCAATGAGCAATTCCTAAAACTCTGGTCTGGCACCCTTTATATAAATGTGCTTAAAGTTCTCACCCCACCCACCTTCACAGCAGCCTAAATTTCTCAATTACCTCACGAGACTCATGAGCCAAGCATCCGTTGGCAAGCCTGCTGTCTTTGCTGACTTCGCCGCCATTTTGTCTATCGCAGGATGTGTGTGTACCTCCCCTCCTGCTTTACGAAGATTCCATGCACTTCACAAAGGGGACAAAGGGGTGTAACTTGGAATGAACTTTTCATAAGGCCTGATTTGCCCACTAACAGCTCAACCACAAACCATTAACCATGTCATGGTAACCATGAACCACTTAACTTGACCAAAAGAACAAACCCTTCCAAGTCCTCTTGGAGAGGCTGCCATCACTGTTGGTTCTCCAGCTTCGGAAGCCGCGGTGTGTGCCCTGGCCGCGCGTTTGCTGGCCGCTTGAGAGGAGGAGGAGGAGGATTTAGATTGCTGCAAAGGAATTTCATCACGGATTGCATAGATGTCCTCATCCGCAAACTTGTACCACACCTCCTCATTCGGGGGCATGTCCAATCCATTCTTCACAACTCATAACATAACTACAGACTACTGACCACAGACACCCTACCGGGTCACCTACCGGAAAAGTTGACGACGACGACCATTGTGTTGCTTTGCTGCTTGGGTTGCTTGTTTGTCGCCACTGGTCTACTGGTGTTGGTTTGGCATTGTGATGTGTCAAGAGAGAACGCAAAAGGCAAAACCTAAGCCTAGATTGAACAGAACAGCCATTCATGTCAACTTAAGAATTCTGAAGGCTGTCCTGGGGACCTGATGGAAGATATTGCGGAGGGCGAAACACAAAGCCCAAGTCAATGACCCATGCCACGCATCCATTCTTGTCTTGCTTCCATCCAGATCTCATTTGTTCATATTGTTCCGTCGAGACCCGATGAAATGACTCGTAGCTAGCAAAATCTTTGCGCGGGATAAAAATGTTCTTTCTGAAAATCACAGTTCCTGCAATTTCGATCACTGATTGCCCATTTGCATTTTTGCCTTCGCCTTTCTTGGGCACCCTCAAAATGAAAAATTCCTCATTAGGTTTGATGCACCTGCAAAACATGTTGCGAATTTCGAACGTCTTCTCTCCACTGAGAATTCTGTCTACATGTTGGCTGTGCACCAACAAACCTCGGTGTGGCTTCTCCACTTTCCTCAGCTCCCAGAACGATGCTTTCAACCCGTAACAGAACACTGACTTAAAAGCACCTTTAAAGGACAGCAAGACTTGAAACACAGTGAAACCTGAACAAGCACATTCTAAAAGAAAAAGCGAAACCTGAACGCAAGCAATGTATATCGTGTGGATAATAAACATGCACATGCGGCGCAAAAACTACCCTGCATGCCAGTTGTATCTTTTTTGATTTGACGACGGCGTTGTATTTCTTGCAATCATTCTCTTGAATAAATCATCTCACAGCCCCCTTTGCATCTCACTGCTCTGAACACACACAAACGCAAAACCCCTTGTTTTGGGGAGCCAGCCCCGAACAGACATCTCCCAGACCCCCTGTTCGGGGAGCCAGCCCCGAACAGACATCTCCCAGACCCCCTGTTTCGGGGAGCCAGCCCCGAACAGACATCTCCCAGACCCCC